CCCATATGTGTACCTATATATATATGTGCACATTGATCTTCAGTTTGTTTCGACCGTATTGAAATCCCTGACGTGATGGTCTATGCCTTCCCGAGCTTGAAAAAAGACACGGTAAATGAGGGAATACGAATTAGATGAACTCCAGAATTAGAAATCTTGTTATGTTATACTAACAATATCTTTAACTACAGAGTGGAATACCGGACATACCGTTCAGAGGTAGGCTTGTGACAATATCCGGTGGGATTTGAGATAACAATGCTTCTGGCATATAAACGAAGAAACTTTCAGTGTTCTCGTTCAGAATAGTATAGACCTCACCACTGGATGGCACATAGCCATCCAGGCCTTGACCAATCACTCCGATCCAACGACTTGTGTGTGTCTGGTATCGAGCCGGTGGATTGGCCAATAGTTCCGAGATGTGTTCGGCAAATACGTGGAATCGTGGTCGATTAGATTGGTCCGGTGTTTGCACAGCTGAAAGGGTACTTCCGGGGGTTGCATTACGTTTCGCTCTATCGGATTCCTCAACCAGTGATACAGTGTCTCCGTAGGGATCGACAATATATCGGACAGCTGACGAGTTTACTGTTAAACCATTGGAGATATTCTGGAAAAGAAATTAGTTTTGAGAAGAAAAAAAGATTTTATTTTATGTAACACAACAAAATATCAAAAGTATATTGTAGAACATGCAAAATGTTATTCAATATTATGTTCAATCCCCATTTCACTCTGTTTTGTATTCCAACCCGTCCGTTGTCGGTTTTATTGTTGTTGCTTGGTTCCACACTTGTTCACAAGCTGATGATTATATATCTGGTTTTCGAAAGAATTATTCGAATATGAAAATCCGTCGGGTTGTTGGAAGACCTATTCCGATTGTGTGGTCAGATGCACGAGAAAATGAGAATATGTGTATTTATAACCAGTGATGATGAAGATGTAAAGGAGTTGGGTGTATTCGACTAAAATAGAGCGAAAAAACAGTTGGTGTGATAAATGGTCTTATGGACTGTGACGTTGAGCGACTATTGGCACCTCGAAGACAAATTTGTATGTCGATTGTGAAAAGTTCTGTAGCCTCGGTGGGATTCGAACCCACGCATGGACGCCGCCTACGTTTTGTACGCACATGCTCTCCCAGCTGAGCTACGAGACCACACCGATAGCACTAATCTTTTCACATTCGAATTTGTCCATCCAACTTAGAAGCTCATTCGATGGAGTCCGGTGAATTCGAAGGAAAACCTGTCGGGGCAGTCAGCTTACATGCTAACTGGTGTATGCCACATGCCTCTGTAAGTTGGATGGGTAAATTCGAATGTGAAAAGATCAGTGCTATCGGTGTGGTCTTGTAGCTCAGCTGGTACAGCATGCGCGTACAAAGCGTAGGCGGCGTCCATGCGTGGGTTCGAATCCCACCGAGGCCACTGAACTTTTCACAATCGACATACCAACTTCAAATCTGCCAAACAACAATTTGAACCAAAATTTATTTAATCTATTCCGGTAAATTTAACATTTACAGAATGAACCTGTTTGATCCATGAATCGAGGCACATGAGAAATATGTTGATGTTTCCTCCGCACGGTCAGTTCAGTTTGTACAACCATTAACCGTGCACTTTAGTGCGCCGGGTTTGGTTGCCCAATTGGATAAACCAACAGAATGAAGATCACAATGTTGAGAGCGAATTCCAGCGGAAGATGGCAAATTTATATAGACTGATGTTACAAGAATAATGAGTAGATGCATGAGCGCTACTGTTTGCGACATCTAACCATATCGCTCAGTGTCTCTAACCATCGGTAACCATGATCTTGAGGTTCCCAACCTGAGAGCCTAAAGGCACCTGTGTGACCCAGTTTCCCGATTGGGGTTTCATACCCTCATTCCAAATCGTAGTTTGACCACCCTTTATCTTTTTCCATCCGCTACCAGCCTTGGCAAACATCGCTCGCCGTGGCAACCTATCTGGTGACATGCGTGACACAGTCCCCAACCAACGTAATCTATGCAGGTCGATCACTTGCTCCGGTGGACGACCGCGACTGCCTAAAAATCTACGCCTAACCTCAACATTGCTCGTCCGGTTACCCCACCAGACTCATGCGATATGACGTAGACGGCGGTGTTCGAACACCGACAATCTATTTTTATGCTGTTCCCGTAAGGGCCAAGTCTGCACCATACAGCAGCACCGGCCGAACCGCTGCAGCATACACTCGACCCTTCACATACAGCCGGATGTCGCGACGGCACCACAGATGTCTCAAACTGACAAATGCAAACCTCCCCACGACTGAGTGCAAGATAAAGTTCAACGAAGCTTGCTACTTAGGCGGGGTTATTTTTTCTTGTAGACGAAATTCGACAGAATGCTTGCAAAGCTAGTGTTTGCCAACTTGAAGTAGGTTTGATGCCATCAAAATATCCGACTTTCAGGCAAGATCCGATTGAACGCTGCAGTCCTTTGGCTATGACAGCTATACAGTGCAGATTCATAGAGCTACCAGAATGCGAACATCGTGGTCACGCATTAAAGGAATTGTTTGATCTTCATGGACTCAGTTGGCTGGGGCATATCACGGGATAAGCTTCCTTCATGTGTGATGTTTGGTGAGACAGAGAGTTAATGGAAAAAGGCTAGGACAATTATCTGGTACACACACATTATATATATATATATATATATATATATATATATATCACTGGATTACAACCAAACATGGTGACAGCACAACCACAAGAATAACAAGGACCGAAAGGGATAGAAAACAGTGAAATAAGTGTCCAATAGCTATATTAAGTAACAAGAATAACACTCATTTCACTGTCCGATTGTGGAAATTTTTGTGTTTGTTAGTTTATCTGGTATAATTGTGTGAAAATATTGGAGATAGAATTTGGTCGGTTTGGACAATCTGATATCGACTGATCATATCATTCTTTGAGAATGCATAAAAACGGAAAAGCTGAAAGTAGATATCAGCCAGACATAAATGAGACAGCAAAAATAACGACTGGTTCAAAGTAAAAGTAAAAGTTTTATTATGGGAAATACTTACAAACGGTTGCTTTTTTCGTCCCATAAGGATTTTGCACAAATGGACCGATTTACGGTTCATAGTAAAATGAGGAATGTCACAAATTATCCTTGTTTCGTGCACTGCTACGGGTGTCGAAATTTAAGACTTGTCAAAGTTTTATTCAGTTTGCTCTTGAAAGAATCAGTTATGGGCACAGAAACAACGTGAGGTGATAGAAAATTCCAAATACTGCACACTCTGAAAGCAAACGAACAATTCCGGTATTCTAATCGACAGTTTTGGAGCACCAGTCTGAATGAGTACCCCCTGAGGTGAGTGTTGGGCAACAAGGCGAACAGTGAACGACATGGGTGATCAGGGTTCTGCATTATCTGATACACTAAAATTTAGTCCCCGAATTCGGCGATACTGTGTGGAGTACAACCCCAATGATTCCACTCTTTCCACATGAGTCTTGGAATGCAGTCCCTTGATCATTTTCATGGTCATTATTTGTGGATGTTCCACAAGCTTACGACTGTGTTGTAGTCATAGATTCCACGCCGAAATGCCATACTCTATGTGAGGTCGAAAGTAGGCCGATAAAAACCTTGCCAACAGCGTAGGTTCAAATTTACCAAATACTCGCTTTAGCAAACCACCATATCTTACAGCGATGGAGGACGCCCTGGATCAGTTTAAAGGACAACTTAAATCGTCTTGAACAATTACACAGAGATCCTTCTCATCAGAGACATATAGAAGTCTTTAATATCCAGGAAGTACGGAAACTGAGTTTTGAGGTAAAGGAGAGATACGACCGTACACTTTGATGCATTGAATTTGATGTCGTTTTCGATCGACGATTGATAAGCAGCATTAGGTGTTCTCTGAAGTGTCAACAAGTCCTCGGGTTTTGTCACTGTTTTCCATATTTTAGCATCGTCTGCAAACATTAACGTGTGTAACCAGAGAATATCCGTTCTATCGTTTATGATAACTAGAAAAGTTAAGGGCCAAGCATGGATCCCTGTGGAACTCCTCGGGCTACGCTGATAGGATCAGATGATGACCCAAAAAGGAAACCTATACCAGCCATTGCTTCATAAACCGAGGACAGATGGGTGTGAAGTACCAACTAGCCAATTAATATTTCATTTCTTCCACAAAGGCTCGCCACGAAGATGGCTACAGGACTCTATTATGATTCATACATGGGGAGACTGCAATCATTGGGTCCATACTCTACTCAGTATCGTCCGATTCTAAGGGATTCGATTTTAGTGTACCAAATATTACACAACTCAAACCACCATTGTCACCGACTTTTGACGTTGTCATCAAGCGTTCATCTACGGCAACATCCATTCAAGTTACTACTCCGAAAATCTCGACTGGACTGTTGACGCCATCCCTTCGTCGTCAGAATGTGCACTGTCTGGAATTCCTCACTATCTCATGTCGTTTGTGCCGAGACGATTGATTCTTTCAAGGTAAAACTTGACGAATCATTAGCACATATTCCATTTCAACATTCATGAGCACACAACGCAACCGAATACAGCATATCGAATTTTATTCATTATTGTTGCAGTACTATTCGTGTAAGCAACCTATGGCACAAGAAAAGCATCAGCTTGTAGGTGGTGCCTATATTAAAACTTTGACTTTGACCTTGACTTTGGCTGTTCATTTGGACATCGAACTCATATGTACTATGGCTTACTTTTCTGGTTATCTACCATTTTATTTACCATTTTACTATTTTAGATGTTACCCTGTAGTCTGTTATCACAGATCCGAAACTAAATATACACATAGGCGTTTCACAGCAAAAACACTATGGATACTTTAGTAAATCCCCTTTGTTATTGAATACACCAACAAAAACCTTCACTACTGAGCCTAGAAGATTATTGGTATACTCTTTCAGTGTAAATTTTACCTTGATTTCTTTAATATATCTGTCCATGTTGTCTTATTTATCTTGCTTTGGTAATGCAGTCTGTAGAAGCAAAAAGTTTTCCATTGCATTTTAGTCAAGGATGTGTGGGCGTAGTAGAGTGAATGTAAGCTGGAATACAGTTCTCGGAAATCACAGCGCAAAAGACCATTGAAGGTAAAATATTAAACTCGAATAACTGATAAGGCTACGGGATATAAAAAAAAATTACATTTAGCCGAATTGTGTTGGTTAATCCTCAACAAACATGTTGCTGCACGAATTTCGGTAATGCCTGTATATAAAATACGGGATCTCTAACGAGACAGTAGAACAAAATAAAACACTTGACTCGTATAACACAGTTGCTAACCACGGGAATGCACAATCTTCCAGTATACAGCAATCAGTTGGTAGTGTTCTTTTTCAATGTCTTACCGATCGAGGTGGTCCTGTGGTCACATGCTTGCCCACTTGATCCCGCAGTAGCGGATGTCGAGGACGTGAACCGTGCAAATCCGGTTTTCGAGCTGACGGTTTGACCATTGAATCTTGAGCCGGCTCTCCTGAATCGTTTTTCGTGGAAAGTTGATGACCTAATGGAGTGAAATAGTTTTTGGTAGACAAGTGTTCTCTTCCGAAGTGCATTGTGTGAATGAATCCAACTGCTGTGAATACTGTTAACTCAGACCAAATAATTGATCTTCATTAGGGTGTACAAGCAGAATCAGCAAAGTTATTCTAAAGCGATAGTGCAGAAACGGTTGGATATGTGAAGATCAATCTGCTTCGATTGATCACTATTCTATAATTTCAACAGCCCTGACGCCAACTTGAGTCGAAAGCCTAATTTGAAGGACCAAGAGACCGGTCTCTGTTTTACGTCAGCTCCTTGATCTTTCATACAGGATGCGATGTCCGGCTTTACACAAGCTCGTTAGTACAAATATGTGCATCACGTTAAGGTGCAGTTCCTTTCAGATGAACCTTAGCTTTTAGTCCATCAAGCAGGCGTGCCCTTGGAGTGACTGACCTACACTAACTAGTTTTTTTCTGACCATTGTACTGGAATTTATGCTACGGACATACCATTTCCACTCTTCGTTCCAGCACACGAGAATTTTTCACCCGCTGAAAATAAAATTATATGTTCTGCCATGTCTCCCGTATATGCGGATGATTTCCATCGAAAAAGGAAGCATAAATGTGCGGAGCGAGGGTGTGGGGGTGGGAGTGGAGTGAGGGTTAGAATAGCAACACAATACTGGCAAATATGACTGTTACTGCGGTGTTCAGTGCAAACATACAATCACTATCCGGCAAACTGATGGATCCGACTTCCATTATAATTATAATGATCTATTCACCATCTTTTATTGAATATAGTAATAAACAAACAACCTTCAGAAACCATGTAGATGCTACCGGAGGATACAGATGGGAGAGGAAGAGTGGTGAGATCACGTTAATCACTATCGCCCATACAGAATTTGTGCATCCCCTGGAATCACGCTGTTGATATATTCCACATCAAAAATGTTTGCTTGAATCGTTTTTGTCGATATGAAAAACTCTTCAAAGAAAACAGGAGTAGGTGTGGTTACCAATGTCAATATTCCTTAGAGAGGCTAATTGGAGGCTATAATTAATCATCACATGAATAACGTTGGATGTTTAACTGTTTCTTAATATCCCCACATGAGGATATGAGAACCCCCCACTAGGATGCTGGGTCACATAGGTCTCGTTAGGCTCCCTGGATGGGGACCCTGAGATGACCGTAAACGGTGGTTACAGACACTGAGTGATATGTCTGGGTGTTGTAAACATTGGCCCTAGTGCATCTACTCATTACCTTTGAAACGTTATTACATGTGAATTCTTTATCTTCTTTGACTGTGGTCGCAACATTCTATGATTCCCTCGACTCTTTTAGCCAGATGGGCAGCCAAAAGAGAGCAACCAAAACCGGCACATGAAAATGCACGGTTAATGGTTGTAAAAACTGAACTGAACTGCGTGTATTACCGGATTTTTTGGATTAAGAAACGCTATATACACAGAAATTCGCATAGGACCTTCTTGCTCTCAAGGTGAAATTATTCCTGTCTACGATTCATTCATTACATTCATTCCATACCACAGCATAAAAGTGCAAGATTAGATAATCTGAATATGGTGATAGTCTTCATATAATTGCCGGATATTTTGTTCATGCTATTACCAATTGCATGAACGCTTTCGGTGTGTCTAATTTTCGCTCTTTTCCAATCCGGAACAAGTCTCCTCTGGACAGGTTTATCATCAACTATCCCAATCTATTTTCGGTTAAAACTCACCCGACCAAAAATTTACCCTATGTCTCACAGTATGCACGTACCCAATACAAACAGATCAGAACTGCTCTAGACTGTTATGTTTGATAGCGTAAAATTAGGCTCCTTAAAC